TCTGGGACTCTCCACCATTTGACCTTAGAACTGAAGAAGCTTCTCGGATGAGAGGTGAAACGTCTTCAAGCAACTTAAAGAAGTCCAGACGCTTTTCTTTCCAAGCTCCTTTGACTATGATGACCTGGATGACTGAGAACCTTCACAGACAAACAGCACAAAAAGACTGCACATTCCAAAGATTCTCCATAGGGTTAAAGCCTGGACTTTCTATTGGTCATTACAGTGTAAAAACGCTGTTGTTTTGTAAACAATAATTTTAAATCCAGGTGGTGACTTTGTCTCAGCTCAGCTTTAGTATACCACATGCCAGTCTCTCGCAGCAGTAATCATTACTCGTGGGTTTGCCTCATTGTAGCAGTTTTTTTGTTTTTTAATACTCCTTTTGTGGCTTTCAAAGTGCAAAAGCCCTAATTTAATGGCTTTGTGAGGAAAAGCAGTAACACTCCCAGAGCGGGAGGTGTTGCTACGACACTGCAGCCGCACCTTAAATATTTAAGGCTCTGTTTTGTGAGTTGAAGAAGTTGAAAGCAGTGGAGCATCAGCACCTTTTCAAATGAGCAGATAAAATGATGTGTACTGACTTTGGTTTCTTGAATGCAGGGTCAGTACATTCTGACTCTGTCAGAGGACATTGTGGAGGGACACGAGAGAGCCATGCAGAAGCGGCACCTGCGCATAGATCCTAAATGCCTTCACTTCACTCCAAAGGACTGGAGCAAAAGGGGGAAGTGGTAGAGTTGGTTGCTGAATGACGCCAGAACCAGGGCAGCAGACACCCGACGCGAACGGTGGATCAGATCAAGGTTTCCCCTCGGCTTTCTCATCAAGAACCCAGGACTTCTCTTCGATAAACAGTGAACATGAATTGTTTTGTTAAACGTTCATTCTATATCGTGAATCTAAAAGGCCGTCAAACCTGGGCAGAGGGAGAGACTGGTTAACAGTAACACCGCCAAAAACACAACACACCTTCTACTGTGTAAAAGATCCTGTTTATGATCAAAACAGTGCATTAAAAATGACAAAAAGGTGACTGTCTATCAGTGTAAAATGACAAACGCACAAACCACTGAAAGGTTGTTTTTATACACGTGATTTTAGATCCTATAGAACTGCTTCATCTGTTAGTCCACATTTTGTAAAACTCAAGTACATTTATTTGCTCTTCTTGTTGTTGTTGCTGTTCCCCTGACTACCACTGTGGCCACACCCTCTCATCTGCCATGTAAAAATGTTGTCATTAGGATCATTCGTATTCCAACAAAGTTCACTAGAGTCATAATTAAGAAACAAAACTAATGCCTGAACAACACTCCAAAATTTACTTTTTTCTACTTTGAAGGTTTTTCAAAGGTTTTTTTTTTTCCTTCCAAGGCTTCAGGACCTCTAAAACCTCTTCCTGGGTATAAAAGATTGAATAGTTGTTATTAGGAACTAAAATCAGACTGTGGATACTTTTATACTCTCCCTGTGACTAAGGCAGATGTTTATTTTGAGAGTTTAAAGAGGGAAATTGTACATTAAGACTTTTTTGGGGGGGGTAAGTTTTTCTTCGAGTGCCTGAATATTAATGTTTCTTAGCTAATAATAATTATAATGCATCAGGCTGTTTTTAGTGTCACTTTACTAGGCTCACTTATAAATGTGAACAGCCCAATACTTTTGCATTATTTATTACATAAAACTCAGAACTAGGCATCAGTTATGTTACACGTTTGTGCAGTTACATATGTTCTTGGTTTGTGATCATTCAGGCCAATATTTCTTTTTCTGTTTTTCATCACTCAAGCATATCAACCCCCTCTTGATTTAAACGTATATTTGCCGTGTCTGTACATACTGATGACAGAAGCCATGTTGAACTTTAAGGAATGTAAATTTCATGTACAGTCGTCTTTCTTTTTTACTCAATGTTATCTAACAAGCTGCACAATGTTTAAAAAAAAAAAAAAGACCTAAAAGTGATATCTTACCTTCAGTTTTGTGTTTTATGTTTACATGTCAGAAAAGGATGTTGAAATGATTTAGTATATCTTTATGTGGAACACTTCAGAGCGTTTGAACGTTTGATATAAAAAGAAAAGAAAAGCTGGCTGAATTGATTAAAAACAACGCGTCTTTATTGTGTTTATTCTGGTCTGAGAGCCACTTTCATCTGTGTGGACAGGTTAAGCCGTGTAAATGAATGTAACAAATTCCCAGTGGACACAGTGCATAAAGAGGGTGTTCAAAATTGGGTTAGTTTGTATGTAAAATTAAATTACATACATTTTTACGTAAAATGAATGCAGTTCATGTCAGAATATGCAGTTTGGCGAGAAATTATTTCTGCACCAGGAATGTGAGACAAGCTATCCAGCTTTGAGATCCGGTTGTCAAAAGGTGCCATACAGCCCAATAGATGCTTTACAGAGGGTGAAGAAATTGCCGTAATTGTTATTAATTAGTCCAGTTTTCCGCAGTAAAGTTTATGCAGTTGTTTTAACAGGTTGGCTCTGTCATCAAAAGGGGTGCAGGTGGTCCGTGAGCCATATACAAGCCCGATTTGTAGCCGGTGCCAAAAAGTGATTTCAAGTATGTGCCAAAAAAAAAAAAAATGCAGGAATTGAAACTGTTGTAAAGGACTTGTTGGCCTATAATATGTCAAAAAATATTTCTCATGAATGGAATCCAGTCTTTGGGCCAGAATGAACATTCCTGTCACAAGATCGAAGCTGCAGTCAGTTTTTGACAAAGTGATACTCGTTCATAAAATGTCTTTTTCAATGGAGATCTGGCCAAGAGGGCAACAGAAATGGTAACAAATATAACATAAGCATGTTTTATGTGACCAAACAAAGAAGGCGGCTGATTACAGTGTAGGTGCAATGAGGAAAACAGATGCAAAACGGGTCATTTTAGATTTTATACATAACAGCTGCACACATCATGTTCACTACAGTCAATTTATCAATTCTTTTTTAATGTAAACATATTAGACATTAAAAACGGTTTAGAATATTTTCACGGAGTTTCAGTATAAAGCTTGATCACCAGGGGGCAGTATTGTGAACCCCTCACCTGTGCGACATTTGAAGTTGAAACCACAGGACGGTCGAGTGGAGCTGTAATTACAGCCTGACCTCTGTAATTGTGTTTGAGCGGCGGAGGAACTGAGTTAGACAACAACTGGAAGAAATTTGGTAACAACCTGCATGAAGAGCAGCACTCTAGCATGTTAGATAATTGTATGTTGTTTGTTTTTATTAGACTGCACGGTGCATGTTGCTAACGCACACTTTCCCAGCTGAACACGACACTGCAGTTTACTCTCTGGATGTGTAAAATGTGTAACAATGGATCACACCTCAGTGTCTGCAGGAGGCCTCGTTTATTGAGCACGTTTCCTCAGCGGACCGATCAATGCATCTGCTTAAAAGTGCGCTCAGGCTTGACGGCGTTTTAATGTCTGCAAGTCAGGTTTGAGTTATCAGCATCACATCACACCAATTTTTCTCTCCCCACCTCACAGAGCCACACCACTCCCCAGGAGGACACAGGAATTTCACACTAATCTAATATCCTCTTCCTGACATCTAGATTTCCTCACCCTGAGTCTGAGTGCTGGCACATTTTTTGTGCTTTATGGGCCAAAAGTTTATTTTGGGCCCTGGTTATTTTTACTCAGATACACAGTTGGATCATTAGAGCTGCCAGTTTGGAGTAGTTTGGGCTTTACTTTAACAAGCTTGAATTTTAAGAGTCATTATTATGCAGAAGGATGAGGAGAGCCCATCATTTGTAATTGTTTCAAACTGCTTGATTATACCAAGCATGCCTCATAAAATGGAATATCCCACTAAGCATAACAACAGATTTCCACATGGTGTCACTGCCGCACTGAGAGTTGTAGGGTTGTTTGGTTTCTTGAAAAAAATCATGCTCCATCACTGCAAACTAAATCTTTAAAGATGTATGTTTACCTGGAATTCAAGTGTAGATTGGGTGAGAATTGGATGTAATCCACGATGTTAAACCCGTCTGACACAAGGCTATTTTATAGCTTGAATTGACTTTAACCTTTCTTTTTCGCGCTGACTGTTCCATTGTTAGACGTTGGTGAAATTTGGTGTCACGCTCCGACACTTGCTGCCGATGCTTTCACTGGCTTGTTGTGCTCGTGTCTCTGCATCAAACAGAAAGCAAAGGGAAGCAGGCATCTCCGCAAAAACACCTCCTGACCCCTTATGAGGACACAAAGAGGTATGAATGTTTGCCACAAAAGCTGGTTTCTCTCCTCTCAACTCTGTTTTAATTTTTCTTATCTCCTCAAGACACACTCTACCAGCAACGCAGGCCTCTCCTCTCTGCACTCCTCCCCGCCCCTGCCCCCAACCCCAGATCAGAGCCGCTGACCTCGCGACACACGCACACAAACACACACACGCTGCAACATATGGTACGGCCGGGACAAAACTCCACGCAGTAATTAGGGGGATGGTGCCGGACACTTGGCTCTGCTGCGGTGCAGGTTAAGCAGCGTGATACATCATCAACTCTCGCAAGCACCATGCAAGGGTTTACCCAAATTGACAGGTATGTGCTTTTAAAGACGCTGCAGAGGCTGATGAGAGAGGACGGCCAAAGCTGTGTTGTTATGTATCCTGTGCTCTCATTGTTCTTAAGGAGGTTGATTGTTTGTTGTGGTCTTCCAGCACACTGAGCATGTTTGGGGAGTACGCAGAGGTCCTCTGCAAATAAACACTCTGTCACACACACACACTTGAGCACACACAACTGCCATTTTCACCTTTGCTTCTGAGGTTGTGTGCACTTTATCTCTCTCGTGCAGAAATTTCAGCGCTGGCGGGGGGAGAGTGACACTTTAAATGAACGCGTTTGATGTCACGAGTGTCGCTTTCCATCAATAAATTAGTCAAAGAGAGGTGGAGAAATCCTGGGAGGCAAAAGTCTTGGTACAACATTGCATCAGCATCGGGTCTGCCACACTGCTGCTCGTGTGTGTGTCACACACCGTTATATACACGAGTGTTTCGGGCATTTGAATCAGCAAGAAAAAATGTTTTTAACCACAGCCATGGCCCAGGGAGGGTTTTTGAATTCCAGCGTAAGAAACGCAGAGCTCTCCGCTTGGACGCCGCTGTCCGTCCGCCACTGCCTCAACCTCTCTCTGACAAGGAGAGGAGGAGGAGGGGGGCCGAGAGAGAGAGAGGCCGGGCGAAGCTGTGTGTGCACGAGAGAGAGCGAGAGAGGGGAGGAGGAGAAAGAGGGGGTTGGCTTTAGTGTGATGTGAATGGAATAGAATCAGCGCGAGAGGAAGAAAGAGGGAGGAGGACAGCGCAAATCAACCTGCCCCTTGACTTTAACAACAGAATAGAGCCGGCAGACACAGAGATCGGGAAGTGTGCGTGCGTGTGCTGCTGTTTTATTTTATTTTTGGAGAGAGGAAGAGAACATCAGACAGGAGGAACTGAGGGAGGAGGAGGAGAAGGAGCCTCACCGTGGAGATAGATAGCAGAAAAATGCTGTCACGGGGAGAGAAGGGGAGGGAGTCGGCAGAGAGGAACAGGATGAAACAAGGCAGGGTTGAGCAGAACTGAAATGTGGAGGTAAGCCTTTTCTTTCCGTATTAAGATTTTACATTCACACTGCTGCCGCCCCACCACCACCACCGTCGCTAACACCCACCCTGTGTCCTCGTCCAGAAGAAGATAATGAATTCAGATTGATGGATCTGCACACCCTCTGTGTGCCACATACCTCTGTGTCGGCATGCATATTGCTCTGATCGACAAACCATCCGGCCCACCGACAATGTATGAGAGCAGCAGAGATGTAAAATGATGGGGTTGGCATCATGATATCTTGCAGCTTGTCCTCTGTCTTCCTCTCTGCCCTTTGTGCCATTGCCCCCCCCCCTTTTTTTTTTATAAATGGATTTTATTCAGCCAGCTAAGGTCTGCTGTATCTACCATTTACACATTGCATTGTAGGTTTGAATCCAGCTCACAACCTTTGTCGCATTTCATCCCGGGCCTGCCCTCCTCCCCCTCCTCCTCCTTCTCCTCCTCCTCCCCGTCTCCCAACACTAACCCCCTCCTCATCATCTATCCTGTGTCTCTCCATTGTGCGATCTGTTAACGAGGCCGGCTCGTCTCAAAAAACAGCGCTGTGACATTGTCGGGGCGGCACTGCGAAACCTTCGCCGTTAAGCGCTCCTGGCCGCGAGGGCAAGGTGGAGGGAGGAAAGAGAGGGAGACAGAGAGACGGGGGGGGGGGATTGATGGAGGGACACTCGCGCAGAATGAAAGAGAGTCAGAAAGAAAGAAGATGCAGGAACAAAAAAAATAAAAAGAGGATCAGGATTTGCTCCAGATACATATTTTCAAAGACCGAAAAGCCGTCGGTCTGCAGTGGGCTGGGATTTGTGTGGATAAAGAGGATTGTGCACAGACAATGATGGAATGGAGAAGCACAACCGGGATTGGGGTGTTGTTTTCAAGGTGGCAGAGAAAATGAGGGATGCAGGAGTCAGTCCCCCCCCCAACCCCCCACCTTCACCACACACACATACCATCCCCATCCTCTCCTTGCCCTCCGCACCACCCTACCCACCGCACTCTCTAATTTAAGATGGGGCTGTGTGTTTATGAGACGCCAGGGTTTCAGGGGCTGGATGGGCTGCTGTAGGGAGAGAAAAGCAGGGATGAAGAGCCGATCGAGAGGGAAGACGAGCAGCAGCAGCAGCTTACATAAGCCAGTGCACTCAAAGGACGGGCCATTTAATTTACATTGAGCTGCCTGGCTGCTCATCCACTGTGGTGTTCACTGTGGTTCACATTGGCTTTTTCTTTTTTTTCAAATGATAAAATGCAGTTTGACCTGACTGGATGAAAAGGAAGGATGTGCGATGACCTTAAAGCGTTGTGTCGGTGTTCCCGAACAGGAGGGCGTTATATTTTTCTACAATCTCAACTTTCTTGCTGGACAGTTCAGTAGAGTGAAACCCCAGCCTTGCAGGTATTTATCGCGGCGAACGATTAGGATGTCTGCATGAAGTGCACCGGCATAATGGTGCTCACAGCGTGCAGCCTGCTCATACAACTCAGCTGCAGATGACTTTTTGTTCTGCAGCCATCCACTGCGTCGCACTTACGGCGTATCGAGGCAGCGCAGTCCTCGGTGTGGGCCATGCTCAAAGGATAAGTGAAAAAGGCCCCTGTCTATAAAAAAAAAAAGAAATCTGAATGCGTGTGTGTATTTTAGAAGAGCAGTTGCGCGGAAGTAAAATGCCATTTCAGAGGATGGCAGCCCTAATGTAACCGGGATCCTTTGTGTCTCCTCGTGGTCTGTAGTTTGCTTTCTGCTTGGCCAAATAAAGCAAAATAAAGCACCTGCTGCGTTTACTGCCTCCTCTGCAGAAAGTGTGTTTTCTGATGTGAAACTCACTCTGTTGGTAAAGCAGTGGAGCAGTTAGCATCAGTCGCTTTTCATTAAGCAGATCACCACAAATAACAATAAGTCTACCTGCTGCAACTTTGGAGTTAGAGCCTTGTATGTGAGTGAAGGTGGAAGATCTTTTGAGAATTCATTTATTTTTGATACTAGGAAACAGTGCAGATGTATTTAACC